CTAATTTAACTCTAAAAGTACCACACAGCTTATACAGAGAGTGGCTGCCTCTTCACATTTTGTCAAAGCAAGAACATCCAATGTTAGCAGCGTTGACAGACTGTTTGTAGTTACGATGCCCCCTTTAAAGTTACTTATGACCCAGTTTCAGAGTTCTGACATCAACCCCCCCCCCGTCACAGTTTGGGCACTTGGCAACTGGCCCACATTTATGGCCAATTGCAGCACCCTGCTGACATGTGGCCACGATTTGTGACAATTTCAGTGGAAACCAGTGTTTAGTTCTTGTTTCCAGCAAAAATCAGCCCATAGCAAACAATGGGTTCACTTAACAACCGCCATGTTCACTTTTGACCATTGCAGTCACTTAATGACCGCTGCAAAAAAGGTCATAAAATTGGGTCCGGTCACATGGTGACCTGCTTTACTACTTTCATAACCTACGACCATAATTGCCAGGCTCAGTTACAGTTATTTGTCAAGGTTTACCTGTATTTATTCAGCATATAGACTTGTTTCATTCCTTTGCCAACCTGGAGCCAGTCTTTTTCATCATGTTCTATCCATGCTGTGGCTTCTTGACCTATACATTGGTTTCTCACATGAAGACAGTGAGATGTTCTGGGAATCCCAGAGCACATTCCACAGCTTTACATGGTCGACACAATCAAAGTCCTTTCTATAATCAATGAAGCACATACCGACTTCTTTTTGGTATTGTTTGGCTTTCTCTGGTCCAGCATGCATCAACAATAATGTCTCATGTTCCTTTGCCTTTTCTAAAGCCAGTTTGAACATCTGGCATCTCTTTTTTCCATGTACAGTAGAGCTCTAATGTGTGTTGGATATTCTAAGCATTATTTTGCTAACATGTGAAATTAAAGATATTGTATGATAGTGTGCACACTGTGTTAAGTATCTTTTTTGGTATTGTAATGTAGATTTAGCACTTCCAATCTGTTGGCTACCATGTCATTCTCCAATTTGCTGACATAGTTTAGTTGGAAACTTTACTGATTCCTATTCTCTTGCTTGCCATATTTCTGTAGCTATTCCATCAGTTCCTGTAGCCTTATGACTTAGTAATGACAGGAGTGCTGATCTCACTTTATCTTCTAGTACAGGGGTATCAAACTGCTGGCCCGCGGGCTGGTTGCATCATATGGAGGCCGCACCCACCCCAGCTCCAGCAATGCAAAAAAAGTCGTGATATGTCACGACGCGTCACGTGACGTGGCGAGTTTGACACCTGTGTTTAGCTGGAAACTTTACTGATTCCTATTCTCTTGCTTGCCATATTTCTGTAGCTAGAGGTCCTTGTAAGTAAGGAATAATTACTAAACTATCTTGGATGTTGTCAGGCCCAACACCAAAAATGACACAGTGACATCCAATCAAGTCCAATCCTTTATTTGTTTAACCTAATGAACAGAATCTTGCCAAACTAAAGCTGTAACCTAAACTACTAGATGTATCCTGAGAGTTTCTAGGATGTGGCTACCATGAACCTCTTGCCCCCTCCTGCATCCAACTCAGGACTGTGCAGTCTCTTAAACTGGGCCTCTTTCTGATGAGATTTACTGCCTCCTCCCTGGGAAAACTCTGTGTTGCCAAAACTCCTATCTACTAATTCTCCAGGTGCACATTCCATCACAGATGTTGACATCTCTACTGTACAATATTTCAGTATATTCTTTCTATCTTTCTTTGATCCCCTTTGAACTTGTTACTGTTGTTTGCTTTTCTTTAACTTACCATACTAAGGTTGGAATCTCCTTCTAAGTTTATTTATTTATTTATTTATTTATTTAATTAAATTTATATCCCGCCCTTCTCCTTGCGGACTCAGGGCGGCTAACAATCAGATAAAAATACAAAAATAACATTACAGGTTAAAATTAATTAAAAGGGAAATATTTGAATTTGATCCAATTAAGATAAATTTAAAACCCCCTCTAAAAATTCCCCTAGGCCAGTCCCGC